GTTTAGGAAAGATGCTGAAGGCAAATGGCATGAAGTTTGTGTTGCGCTCGATACAAATGATAACCTTTGTTTCATGTTGTCGAAAGCCGAAAATCTCCACACCTTGTAGGCCTTCAAATTCTTTTTTAGGGTTTCAGGCCTGTCGCTATCCTTCATCATTCCCACAGTCATGTATTTCATATCTGTTTCTTTAGGCCTAGCCTTAAAAAATGTCATATTTCTGGGCGCCTGTTTTTTGAAAACGCTTATTATCAAGATTCTGTTTCTGTGTGTATGTGTGCATGCATATATGTATGTGTGTGTGTATGGAGATTTGTCTGGGGATGTATGTGCGTTCCAGTTTCTGTCGGGGATTTTCACTGAGCAGCCAGGATGGCTAAAAACTTGAATTTTAAGGGGATATTTCCTGCTTAAATGTGATGTCATATTCGGTTTTCACATACGCTTGAATTCCACATATGTGAAAGTTACTGAGGGAGAATTTTCCGATTATAGACCGGATAAAATAGAAAATTGGAAGTTTGTGCGGATCTTTCATGTTCGTGTCTGGTCAAATTTTGCTTCCATGTATGCTTGTTTGTCGTGCTTGGGGTCGTAAGTTTTGCACGAGGAGTTTTCTAGCTCGGGAAGTGTGGAAGAAAGGAAGCTGAAATTTTAGAATGATTTTTCTAGTCAGTGTGCAGCTTCGGGAATTTAAATTTAGTATTCGTACAGTCTAGTTTCGTGTGGATATGTGAAGTTTTTGGCGATGAATTTTACATTTCGAGAGCTGTGATAAAGATTGACTGAGGTCCTTGAGTTTGAGGCGAAGGTCGGCCAAGTTGTACGTGACTGCTTCGTGGTGGACGCGCCTGTATTGATTATTGACGGGGAAACTATGCAGTGAACACGGTGTCGAGACAAGTTGTTCATATTGAGATGATTAGACGAACAAGAATACAAGAACAATTATTTCCATTAGGGAAAATGGCTTTTATAGTGTGTATGGTCGGGCAAGCGTGTAACACTGTTCGACCACAGTTGGACGACATGATCCACCGAGGGTTATACACAGTTGATCACGAAAGTGCTTGGCTCGCTTTCGTGACAAGAACTAGACG